TAAAGGGGATAAAAATCCCATAATCCATTAACCATAGATGGACGGATTGGTTTCACATACAGATAGATAAAGTTGGGAGTTGGGACAGGCTGGTGAGGAGGCATGTGTTGATGGGCTGAGCTGGAAAGAACCACAATCCTCCATGTTTTGTGGAAGTGACCCTCATTTCCTTGCTCACTAGCAGACTGCTCTAGCTAATTAGCAAATCAAAAGAAACAGAAACAATTCTAGACCTCAGCACAATCAGATTAGTGGAGTTATTTGAGGACACCATTTTCACACAGTGTAATCACGCTCTCTTTGTTTTTGTCAAAGGAGTGAAAATTATCTTCCAAACCCAATGCACTCCCCTCTATCCAACCAGCTCTATTTTCCATCTGCTCTCATCAGTTTTACAGATGATCTTTTTCTGTGAAGACATGAATGCACAATGTGCAATTAAACAATACCCATCAAGCTTCCCATACAACAAGGACCCTTCAAAAATACATTTGACTTTTAAGGTGATACAGCAGTAAGAGCCATTAGCGCACCATCTAAATCAGGACTTGGAAAGTTTATTAAAATTGGATTTTTAAGCTGATCTCAATTTCTTCTGCTTATAAAGAATCTCATTGGACTTCTTAATATTCATGCTGTTAACCTGAAAGATTCAAACACCATTATGGAAGGAGAAGCTCATATAAAGCAGCCCAATAGACAAGGGTTACAGATAAAATCCCACTGAGTCCAGGCGGGCAGTGAGTGTGGATCCTGGACATCGTCACAAGAAGCAAGCTCTCTCTTTTCTTTCTCTCTTCCCACCTTCCCTTCTTCTGACCTCTCCTCTTCTATCCCATATTTGAGGGAAAGAGAATGACCATAAACAACAATAGCAAACATAAGCAAATTATCTAATGACAAAGAGCACTGAAGGCGCCTAGTTTTCAGTGGAAGGATGCCTTCCCTGGATAAATCACTTCCTCCTCTGGGACTCTAATGAACCCGCTCAATTATAAAATGAGGAAGCCTGGACTAATCATCCCTAAGATGTGTTAAGAGCATACACGTTGGAGTCAGACAAGACCTAGGATGTGAATATCAGTCTTACCACTTATTATAGTATGTGGCGTTGAACAAATCGTTTAACTTTCTAAGTCTCAGGTTCCCCATTTGTAAAATGGGGGAAATTCTAGTTTCTATTTAAGAAAGTTGGTATAAGAACAAATGTGCAGCTCATGTAATTCATTCTGCACAGGAGTTGGCAAATGAACCTTGGACACACCTTGGCTGGTATTATTACTAATTATTGACCAAACTCATAGGTCACTTGCTTCTGTTTCCATTTCATTACTTGAGCCATTATCTTCTATAGAACACGATTTACAACTTAACTGATGTCAGTGAGTTTCTGTAAATGTGGGCTGTCAGTGTTAGCCTTGTTTCTATTTGAGATAAGATTTTTATACTTGCTTAGGACAGTGGAAATGTCTTAACTTTCCCTCTGTCTTGCAGTACCTGGCATAGTATTGAATACATACTAGGTACACATAAAACCTCTGATATCTTAGAATATTAGCAGTGCAGAGATCACCTACTAATACCATCTCATTTTCCAGTTGATGTCACTGAGTAAGAGAGTTTTGGGCCAAAAATCTAGGAGTGATAGCTGCTTTTCCATTTTTCTATCACCTTGTCTCCTAGGGCCTCCTTTCTTATACTTACAACTTTGAAATGAAAACATGTCTGATCTAAATCATGACTCCTTGCAGGAAGTTCAATAGACAAACTATTTTTTCTTTTCTTTTCTTTTTTTAGAGCATAGTATGTTGTAAACACCATCAAGTATCTGTGGAGAGATAGGTCACAGTCCCCAAACTCAAGGCACATGTAACCTGATAGGCAAGACATATCCCTAAACAGATTGTATTTTCAATATAATGTTTGTGTTGTTACAGCAAAGCTAAGCTCTGTTACTATGTGAGAACTTGGATGAGAACCCTAACTCATGACCAGAAGATTTCAGAGAAGGCTATCTAGGAGAGGTGGCAAATGCCTGGGCAGAGACATATAGCTAAATAAGAACAAAATAGCCAGTTGATACTTTTATTTTTCTGAACATAAGATAACTAATAATTAATCAATGAATGATTACTAATGTTTTTTAAAAAAATGTGAGAAACTAAAATGCCAGTCCTTAAATTCTTCTTAATTGCCAGATGAAATCATTTCCTAAAAATGTAAGCTTCTAACAGAGACTCAGGACTGGGATCTGGTGTTCTAGTTTCTTTTAAGGTCTTGCAGTGGACCACTAAGTAGGTCAGTTAACCTGCCTGTGGTTTCCAGGGTGCAAATGGAATCACTGCTCACCCTCGTTTTGTCTCACAAATGAGTTATTAAATTCAGGTTATGAGAACCAAAGCACTTTGGATTCTGGAGAAGAAGTAATCATACCAATATAGGGTATCAAAACTGCTCCCTGATTTGAGGAACTCCTGATCTGCACTGTGCTTGGCTGCTGGTAGAAGCTTAAATATACCAGTAATTGACAGGACTTTATCTTCGACTTCAGTCTGACCCACACGGCCTCCTACATGATTTTACACAGCTTCATAGAATGGGGGAGAAAAGCATTTCTTTTAAACCCAGTGCAAGTTTAAATGGTAAGGCTTTTTAAAATGGGGCTTTAAAGTGACTTTTTAAAATTCATATTTTACACAAAAATCAACTCAAAATGGATAAAAGACATAACTGTAAGACCTGAAACCATAAAACTCCTAGAAAAGAAAATAAGGGAAAAGGTCCTTGACCTGGCCTTGGCAATGACTTTTGGATATCACACCAAAAGCTCAGGCTACAAAATCAAAAATAAATAAATGGGACTACATCCAACTAAAAAGCTTCTGCACAGCAAAGGAATCAACAGAATGAAAAGGCAACCTATGGACTGCGAAGAAAAATGTTTTCAACTCATATATGATAAAGGGTTAATATCTGAAATTTATAAAGAACACTTATAACTCAATAACAGAAAAAGAAACAACCCAATTAAAAAATGGGCAAAGAACCGTAACAGACATTCTTCCAAAGGAGACATAAAAATGGCCAACAGGTAAATGAAAAGGTGTGTGACATCACAATTATAAAGCAAATGCAAATTAAAACTACTATGAAATACCTCCTCAAAATGGTTATTATCAAAAGGGCAAGAGATAATAAATGTTGGCGAGGCTGTGGTGAAAAAGGAACACCAGCACACTGTTGGTGAGAAAGTAGATTGGTGTGGTCATTACGGAAAATAGTATGGAGGTTCCTAAAGAAATTAAAAATAGAATTACTATATAGCCCAGCAATTTCTCTTCTGAGTATATGTATGTATGTGTGTGTGTGTGTGTGTGTGTGTGTATATATATATATATATATATATATATATGTATGTATGTATATATATATATCCAAAGGAGACAAAATCACCACCAAGTAAAGACATCTGCACTCCCATGTTCATTGCAGCATTATTCACAATAGCAAAGATATGGAAACCACCTAAGTGTCTGTCAACAAATGGATAAAGAAAATGTGGCATTATATACAGTGGAATATTATTCAGCTTTAAAGAGGAGGTCCTACCATATCCCACAACATGGATAGGCCTAGAGGACATTATGCTAAGTGAAATAAGCCAGACAAAGAAATAAAAATTTTGCATAAAATCACTTATGTGTAGAGTAGTAATTTTAAAAAGAGCTCAAATACATAGAGCTAGAAATTGAAACAGTGGTTACCATGGGGTGGGGGGTGGAAAAAGGACACAGAAGAGCAGATATCTAGAATGAACAAGTCCAGAGATCTAATGTACAACATGAGGACAAAAGTTAATAAAATTGTATCGTATTAGGAACTTTTGTTAGATAAGTAAATTTTAGCTGTTCTTGTTACAAAAATGTAACTACGTAAGATGATAGACATGTTAATCTGCTTCACTATAGTAACCATTGCGTGTGTGTATGTGTGTGTGTATATATATATATATATATATCTGTATATATATATATATATATCTGTATATATATATATATATATATATATATCTGTATATATATATATATATATATATCTGTATGTATCTATATGTACCCTAAAAACATCATGATATAAACCTCAAATCAACACAATAAAATTTATTTTTAAAAACTTTGGATTTTTTACTTAAAATAGGCATGCCAACATTAGTCTGTCTCAAAGTAGTCAGGGTGATTAAAACTCCTAAAAGCTTATTTTCCAAAAGCAGGGCTAGGTCTTGGCCTCCCAGACACTTCTGTCTTTATCCTATGGCCAGAGAATACTGGTCATTGTTTTGCCTTCTAAAAAGGCTGAGGGTAACCTTCACATGAGTTAAGGGTTCAATTTCCTATAGCAAACTTCTCTTAGATGGAACAATCTTTTTCACTTAAACAAAGAATGAAATATTTTTAAAATGTAAATAACAATTTGAATCCTTTCAAATATTTATCTCCCAATATTTAAGATATAAAAGATTTATTGGAATCTCATCTAAAGGAAGTTACTTTGATGTGCGTTTGGCTCCCCGCCCCGCCCCCGCCCCACCTTTGCTGACCCACCTTTAAGGACAACTTGCTTTGGGGCTCAGGTGAGCAGGCAACCCAGTTTCTCCAAGGCGCTTCCCACCCTACGCCCCTCGAAATCTGAAGTCTTAAATCTGAAATGGAACTACTGGATGCGTCGCACAAAACTACCCAACTTCCGAACAGGGGGCGGGGGCGGGGAGACCCTGCTTGGTTTCAGAGCTGACGTTTGCAGCCCTAGCGCTCCAGCCTAAGCAGAGCGGGACTCTCCGCGCTCGCCTGGTGAATTGGCGTCCGCTCCCGGACGCGAAACCAAAGGACAGGCGTGTTCAATGGCGACCCGGCGCGCTCGGAAGCCGGCTCCTTGCGCGGATCCCGGCCCGGGCTGCCGCTCGCCTCCCAGTCCGGCTGCAGAGCGCGTTGGAGAGGACGGCTGTCCCTGCTTCCCGGGCACTGCAAGGAGCCCCAGCGCCTGAGGTGAGTCACCTGCCGGGAAGGAAACAGGCAGTGCGGACGCACGTGGGAGAAGTGCAGGTCCCTGGGACCGTGCCGAGCTGGGGAGTGGGGGAAGAGGTGTGATCGGGGCTCGGACCAAGCAGGAGTGAGCAGGACACAGGACGTCCCAAGTCTGCAGCCACCGCGCATTCACCCCATCCACGCGCTGCACCCTCCCGGCCGTGCTGGTCCCTCCCTTTGCCTTGAAACCCGAGGTGCGGCCGCGCCGGCTGGGCGGTGTCGCTGAGGCCGGGTGCGGGGCTGAGGCTCGCGGAGCCGCCGGGCGCAGGGAGGTGCGCCGGGCACAGCGGGCCTGACTCGGGGCCGCAGCGGAGCGCGCCGGGCAGCAGTGGGCGCTCGCGATCCTTCTCTGCCCAACGCACTCTCCCTCAGGGCCTGGCCTCCTCCGTCTCCTCCTCCTGCTCCTGCTCCTCCTCCTCCTGCTCCTCCCCTCCTCGGGATTGAGCACCAAAACGCCCGCCTGCAAGGTCCTCGGCGCGCTGGCAGCCACTAGCCGCTGCCACCGCCGGGTCTCAGTGGGTATCTGCGTCCTTTTCTCGCCCGCCCGCCCCGGGGCGTCCCCAAGCTCTCTCCACCCGCCGCGGGTGCGGCGATGCCCATGGCCCAGCTGGAGAGCCGATTTAGGGCGCCGGACCTGCTGCACGGCGGCACCGCTCAGGTGAGTGCGGTGCGCTCGGGGCACGGGCCGCCAGGCTGGGGAGCGGCACCGCGGGCGGCCGCCAGGGTGCCTTCTCTTGGCGTCCGGGACTTCGTGCAAGTGAGCGGCGCTGGGTTAGTCGGGGCTGGAGCAGGTGGAGTGGATGTAGGGGGAACAAGGAAGGAGAGACCCAGGGTTTTCCCATCCTCCTCCCCTCCTGTCCTAGCACCTCAGCTCGGAAAGTCCCGAGGGACTGGTCTATAAGGACAGGGACCTGGGTTTCTGCCTGTTTATGGACTGGAGTTTCCTCCCCTAGCAGAGTCGGGAGGTTCGCCCCTGCCCTGCGCTACGTGCCCGCAGCTTCTCACTAGGACCCTGTGGGGCAGCGGGAGCGAAGCGCTCAGCGGAGCCCGGGTACCACCAGGGGCCGGGAATGGGCGCGGGGACACTGTTAGCAAAAGTCACTCGGCCGACGGAGCCTCTGGGCTGGGGTAGCCTGGGTCTGGTTCACCTTTGCATTCGGATGGGGTAGGGAGCGGATGGGGCATCTCCCAAGGGGCGGCGGGGCTTGCAAGCAGGAGAGTGAGGCGACATCCCTGACAGTAAGTAGCCTCCCTTTCGGAATCAGGAATGCAGCTCCTGATTTTCCAGATTACTTTTTACTTTATTTGTTTGTTTGTTTGTTTGTTTGTTTATTCCGCCTCGGGCACCACCGGTAGTGGCGGCGCATGGGGTTAGGAGTGGCGGGGCGCGAACCCGCGGCGGAGCGTGGAGCTCCCTGCTCCGAAAGAGGGACTTACTCGCGGAGCCTGAGCTCTCCAGCCAGGCGAGGGACCGTGCGCTGCTCCCAGGAAGCGGAGGGCCGGCCTCGGCGGCTGCACTTGGAGCACAGGCAGATGACGGGATGGAGAAGCGGGAGCCAGAGCCGGGGTGCGGGCGCGGGGGGTGTGATGCGCTGGGCTCCGAAGTTGCATGTGTGGGCGCTGTCGGTATTCCATCTCAGCTGCCATCTCCCCTTGTCCGCTGCGAGGGCATCCGCGCCTCCTCGCACACCCAGGGCCCAGTCTTGGGCCAGGGGTTGCATCTCTCCCTCTCCGCCTTCCTCCCTTTGCAGAACCAGTCGCATCCCTGCCTTGCCTCGCGCGAGTCTCGCTCGCTCCTCCCCTTCCCCCAGCGTTATCCCGGGTTATTTTTACCTACAACTTGTGCCAAGATGCTTTTGGGGGGGGATTCTGGGGACGCGACTCCAAATCCAGTGTCTTTGGGCTGCGCTGCCAGAAGCAGTCTCCTGCTAGTGGGGAGCAGCCCCAGGGAGTGCTGGGGAGAGTGGCCAAAGGACTAAAGACGGAGTGCGTCCGCGCCTCCTCCCGCAGCCAGAGCTCTCGGAGCGAAACCGGCCACCGTGGCTCAGCTGCGCCTCCCGCCACTCGCCCAGGGAGCTGGTCCCCAGACGAGTCAGTCCCTACGCGCCTGGGTCCTGGGTGTGTGGCCAGGTGTTGTGGCTGCAGTCTGTGCTCTCGCATGAACCTTCTGACCCACCATATGTTCTTGCTTTGCAGTCAGATCTCACTTTATTTTGCTGAAGTGCAAAAATGCAATCACCAGCTTCCACACACGGGTTAATTCCAGAAATTACATTCTAAAAAAAAAAAAAAAAAAAAAAGGAGGGAGAGATAACCCCATGTACCTCCTCTCTGCATTTCTAAAGCACTTCCTTTGGCGTTCTGAATTATTCTTGTTTTTGCTTTTCTGATAACATTGGGTGCAATTAGAATAAGCCTGGCCTACTGAAATTCCAGATGAATGCTTCAACTCCAAGTCCCCTTTACCCTTTTCTTTATATGCCCGGTGCTTGGATCCTTCTCACCCCCCCCCCCCCCCCCCCCCCCCCCCCCCCCCCCCCCACCCCCAAAAAACCCCTATTTTTTTTTTTTTTTTTATAATTTTAAAAAAAAAAGGCCCTCCACCACCCCCCTTCCCTAGGATTCCAGAAATAACATTGAAATGGACCTTTGTGTTACATAAGGTTTTCTCCAGCGTTAGGCAGAAAAAGATCAGCTTCTAAAGAAGCCTTTCTGGGCTTCAGTTAGTCCATCTAACTCTTTTGACTTTGACGGGGATGGACACTTCATGACTAAGCACTCTAAAGTCAAAGCAGTTACTTCCAGCAGCAGCATAGCGTGAGGATCCCTTAGTGAGGTGCACTAGGCTCTGATGCTGGGCTGGGATCCACTGAGAAGCTGCTGGATATACAATGCACTGTAGCTTTAAGATGGGAGATTTTTATTAGGGGAAACTGGTGAAAGAGTGGTACCTTGAACTTATAAATGGGAGTCTGGAAAAGTTATGGGCTTTTTACTCTCCCTTGGTATGCCTGGTATATGAGGCCTCAAGTCCCCCAACCTAAAGCAGTGCCTTGCTCACTGTAGTCAGTCAGAAACCCTAGTTAAAGGGAAGAGGTTTTGCTTTACTACTCTACAGTATAGTTGGGGCTTGTGTTTTTGTTGTCAATAAGAAGAAATTCTGCTGAAAAAGTCCTGGGAGCTCTCTGAAGGCAAAAGCCATGTGGGAGCTTTTCTTGCCTTGAATTACAATATGATGGTGAGGAGAGAAAGGCTCTAGGAAGAGGGACTGTCTAGTGTAAATTGCTTGTAGGGTGCACGCCACCTTTCTGAGACCACAACATCTACCTTCCCCTAGGTGGCACATACCCATCCTGAGGACCAAACCATGCTCTCTGTAGCAAGGCTAGAGTTTGGAAAGAGGGACAGTAATGTCTGGATGTTCTGATGGAACCGAGGCTATACGCGAAGTCAGTGCTCAGACACCAGTTAGAGGGCCTGTGTGGAAGCCGGAGTCCCTGTGTGAGAGACAGTTGTAGCTGGAGAGTAGCAACTTCCTAGCTGCTCTGTGGGAAATGCAGGAACTTTCCAGCCATTACAGAAGGCAGTGACTTTCTAGTTGGTTTTGGAAAAGGCTGGGGTTGTTCCCCATCAGTTTGGTGTTATTGGCTTCCCTCAACCTGGCTACATGACCTAGTGCTTTCTCTTGAGGCTGCCTTTTTTTGAAAAGGCAAGGAGAGAAAGTGCTAGGTGGATTTGAAGCCAACTTCCTACCCCATGATCTTAGGTAAATGACTCTTTTCTCTGTGTGCCTCAAATTTTCTTCTGCAAAATAGAGATTGAAGGATTATTGTGAGAAAGTGAGAAAATATACTGTATATGAAAAGCATTTTGGTAATTATAAAACACTCATAGAATTGTACAGGGTTGTTTAAATTTAATTGTAGTTTGGGTATGTCTGTGTGAATGATGTATGCTAAACATTAAATTAGAAGAGGATTTCACATAACTAGCCAGTTTCTCTTTGTGATCACCACCTGAATTCTACCAGCATCGAGCCTATTGCTTCTCAGAATTATTAGTTTGTTTTCAGGATCAGAGTTAACTTTCAGAGGGTTTTTTTGTTTGTTTGTTTGTTTGTTTGTTTTGTTTTTTAAACTTCATGCATGCTATATGTCTTAAGAAAATCTGTTTGGAGGAAGGCCCCTGGTACTGATGAACCAGAAAGAAGAAAGTCACAGATGAGTGAATCAGTCGGGGAAGTGAAACATAACCGGTTTCAGGAGATGACTTGCATCTCCCTTGTCTAAATCTGTCATCAGCATAAAGCATTGGCTCCCTATTGCATTCTAGGATTCAGAATTTGTCCCCAGAACCTAGCTCAGTGCCTGGCACTCAGTAGATGTTCAATATATATGCTTGGAAGAAGTGAATGAATGATTGAACTGAATTTTCACAGCAACCCTGAAGAACAGATGGCATCATTTCTATTTTTAAAAATTTGGAATCTGCAGATCAGAGAATTTAATTAATTTTCTGAAGGTACAAAGGATTCCAGATTGGAATTCAGGTCTGTCTGTTCTCAATTCACTCTGCTGTACTGCATGTAGTGTCCTCTTCCTCCATCGACACTTAAAATTCTGCAAGCGGTTGGAAGGTACTCAACAACCAAACACTTTCTTATGTAGGGGGCACCACCATCCCCTCATAGACGGACTTTTTGGTGGCAGGTGGCCTATATCTCCAAGCCCTGAACTAGGGCTCAGTTGAATGATCCCATGTGGGGCCTGGAATCGTAAGTGACTAGCTAAAGGACACAGGGACAGTAAATGTTTACTTACCACCTTGGGTTCATGGGTCAAGTGGCGTCAGCAGTAGCATGGATGTCCCAGGGTGTGGTCCCAACAGTATCGTTCCCATAGCACCATGTTGCCGTGATCTCTAGTACCCAAGTTCCCTTTATTTCTTCTCAGTTTCCAATC